CAAGAGCCATACTATTCCAAAATCAACTTGGAAATATCGAAAATTTATTGCATATTGACCGTGTCTTTTACACTTGCTGAAAAGCGCCATTTTGAAAACTTACAAAAGAATCTGCTGGACAGTGTTTATTGTTTTGTGGGCTCAAATTACAAAAAAAATAGCGCGAAAGTTTTAAATTTTTTGAATAATCCGTGCGAAATTTGAGTGTTGTTTCAAGGTGCTTCTTAAAATTTTTGTTAATATATCACACTGTTAAGTGGATTTGGGCTTTTAAGAGGATAAAATGTCTGATATTTCACCTCCAGCGTCATTTTTGGAATATAAATTAGGGATTGAAAGGGCGTCAGTTCAATATGCAACGCAAACTAGAGCAAAACCGGTCCTCATGGCACTGGCAATACCTTATCCACTTTGGAAAGCTTGGTATGAATTCATGGATACACAAAAGAAGAAAACTATAAATGTTAAAAAACCACTAACGGAGCGGTCATTAAGTAAGTATATTTCAGGAATCTATTTCAAAAATTTGAAGAAAACATTAGTATCCCATATTTGCATTCCCTTTGTTGGAAGCATGAAAATGTTTTATATTATTATACTAGGATGATGCGCAAGTGAACATTTTCCTCAAACAACTCCCCCATCCCCATAACACACACTTTGAACATGACAGCTGCCTAAATGCATCTAATTCTTCAGATTCTCCAGACTCAAGTTCCACAGTGCATTTGCATAATTGCTCTTGGACATATGTTGACTTACTGGAATACTCCATACCTGGAAACATATTCCTTTTTTCCCAAGAAAGCCAAACTAGAAGCGAAATAGAAGAATCCCTGAGAAAGATTGCTTCCTCTGTTAACAGTGAATTTAGAAAGGCGAAAGGGTCAAATAAGAAAAAGCAACTTAATTCTACAGTGAGGAAATTCCATATTTTGAAGAAATGATTCAGTCGGTTAAAGAACTGGACATTGAAAACAAAAGCATAAAAGATGAGATGGAATTATGGAAGAAAAATTGCCAAAACCTTCAAGAAAAATTGGATAATCTGTACGAAGACATGGTCACAGCTATAAATGAAAAGAATGAGGAAATTGTTGGATTGCAGAATAAAAATGAGCAGCTTGATGAGTATATTAAATGTTTGGAGAAAGATTTGAAATTCTCCAATCAAGGCAAGAATGTGTCTGATGTGAAAAACAAATCGAGAACACTGAAAACATTTATTTCTAGGGCCAAAACAGCATTATGGTTTGCCAAATCGTTTGGCTTGGAGATTGAAAGCATCAATGTGAAAGAGGACAAAACTGGAATAAAACATTCCATGGCAACCGGAAATGATCAGGATGCTAACCATGAGCTTCATGGTATTGATAGTTTGCCTGATGAAGAAAGGAAGAAAATTGAAGAAATTTTATTTCTTCTTGATCGGTTTTGCGTGGGTGACAACTTCTACCATGAGCTATCAATGGTGGTTGATGGTCTACCTAAGTCTTACTTAATACGGCAGAGAAGAAAGCAGCTCAATGACTTATGCCATGTAAATCCAACACCCGGAACCGCTGAAGGTGCCCAGTTATCATTCACCCACCTTCTTAAAGGAAGAATTTCAGATCTTGTTGTCCAAACTGGAAAAACCGATTGGACCTCACAACCTATTAAAATTAAGGTTTCAGGAGATGGTGCCCGAATGACAAGAACCACAAGCTTTACATTGCTTTCATTTTCCTTACTCCAGAGTGGCAATCAGGTGATGTCAGCTAATGGCAACCACACCATAGCCATAGTGAAAGGCTCAGAGAGTTATGAGACAATCAAAGAATCATTTAAAACAGTTTTTGATGAAATAAACAATCTAATTAATGCCAGGAAGATTATAGTTAACAATACAGAATATAATTTAGAATTCTTTCTTGGTGGAGATTATAAATTTTTGCTAACAATGATGGGAATGAAATGTGCGTCAGCAAATTATTCGTGCATTTGGTGCAAAGTACATAAAGATAATCGGTGGAAAATGGATTTTGATTTGAAAAAGTACAACTCTGCACCACTGAAACGCACACTTAAGGAAATCACACAGATGGCAGACAAAAAAGGAACCGAAGACAAATACTCGTGTGAGCACAAGCCACTCCTCCTAATAGAATTAGATCACATTATCTTGGATGAACTACACTTACTTTTAAGAATAATGGACATTTTAATAGGAAATTTAGTACAAGAAGTTATCACATGGGATGCCAAAGAAAATTTCAACAGAAAGAAATCAGAAAGAAGCAACCTTCGTTTACAGAAACTGCAACAGACAATACGATCATGCGGTGTAAGTTTTGAAGTCTGGGAAAAAAGGTCAGAAAATGGGAAGGGTGACTATGATTTCACCAGTCTGCTTGGTGATGACAAGAAGAAACTGTTGGTAGAACTTCCTGGTAAGTTACATGAATGCATTCACTCTGAAACGTGTCAGGGAGTGGTGGATTTGTGGGTGTCATTTCATAAATTGTATCGTGTAATAACTGACAAAAATTCATCAAGTGAAATGGCTACCAGCTACTTTAACATGGCAAGATGCTGGGTGAAAAAATTTACATCACTTGGGGTCAAACTTCATGGTTACAAACGATCAAAAGTAACTCCATATATGCACTGTATGGTGTTCCATGTGCCAATGTTTATGGAAAAGTACAATTCGATAAAACTTTTCACTGGGCAGGGAGTGGAGAAAAACAACGATGTGGCCAGAAAGATTGTGCTGTGCAAATCCAACAAGAGAGAACCTGCTGTTGACGTATTAAAGCTTGAATCTCGACAATGGAATTTACGCGAGTGCGAGCGTCCTAAACGATCTTACGTTAAACGTAACAGTGAGTATTGGGAAACAGAAATAAAGGAAAAGCGAAAAAGGAGCAATAACATGTAACAATATGATTCAGTTAAACTAAGTTGCATTACTAGTAAGTTACATTAATGGACTTGTTTAGATGAAGCGAGTTTGAGGTGCCAGCTTGGGATCTCGCTGGTATACATGCTACAAAACAATCTTAAACTCTATTTTTGTTAGTTACTTTGAAAATAATGACAATGTTGTATGTCAAGGATTGTAGATTATCTCCTTTTTTGTATTGCAAACAGTGGCGGACTTTATGAAATATTGGGGGTCGAGAAATCCATTAACATTTAGTTTGGCAATTCCGTTATAATGGGTGAGTTGCGTTACTTCCTACAATACTTTACAGTCTTTCAAAATCATTAGGGGGGGGGGGCTGGAGCCCCACTTGTCCCTAGTGTCCACCACTGATTGCAAAGCTACATAAATAAGGTTTTGAGCAATTTTTTCTCACTCTCTTTTAGACAATATCAACAGTAAACTGTATATATTAAGTCATAACTGATTGTCATTTGGTTCAGCTAAAAATATATACCTAATATTCTATTGAAATACTGTAGGCTTTCTTGCAGAATGAAATACTTAGTTTTTCAAGGCAGTATCGTGGGAGTGGTTCGATTTTTCCATTCAACGAGCGGTAGTTCTTAGGGCTCCAGGATATATAAGGGTGTAGTTTAATAGGAAAATCAACTTTCACTCCATCTCCAACATGATCCAAAATTCTATCCCAATTGAGGGGAAAACCACAAAAATCAAAGTCTTCCTCTTTTAGCAGAATTGATCCTTGTTGCTTGCTTCTTTCACCTTTACCATTAAAAAGGAACTTAAAAACATCATGCCGAAAGTTAATAACAGTAGCCAAAATACTTCTGGATTTAAGATGAAGGAGAATCCCAGCAGCCAAGGCATCGATTCCTTCAGATATGGCTTCTTTTGATGGTTTGGGATTTGTGTATGATCTATATATATAAATTAACATAAATAAAAAGTTAGTATAGCATTTTGACATACACTGTCATTCAGACTCAGAATGACAAGAAGCCATGTCAAAAATTTCTAGAACTAATTGTTATATATACCAATTATAAAAAACCAGGCCAATTAAGTTGATGTTAGGAATTGATCTCTCTTAGGGGTTGACTTGGACAGGTATTCTATAATTTTTTAAAGCAAATTTTGAAATCCACAAGGCATTCCAGCAAGAAATTTTATATATAGTCAATTGTAGTCAATTATTGGTGCCATCATCATTTTGGCAGCTCCATTTTAATGACAGTAAGTACTAAAGACAAAATAAACAGAACATAATACCTTATCGCTACCTGGTTTAGATTTTCTTCCGGCTCCCAGGTGTTTTCATAGCTCGAGTAGCCTTTCCATTTTACTAAATATTCGACCTAGCAGGACAACAAAGTAGAAAAATGATGACTTTCAAATTAAAATAGACTTCACATTTCTCGACATCTTGAACTATTAAATGGCAACGACAGCTGTCTAAACATACAGTACCTTTCGTTTTCTTTTTCTCCTGGACACGACTCTCTCAATATTGTAATATGTTTGTGCCATTTTTTCCGTAAAAATCAAAGTATTAAGATCGTTTACCCCTTGCCAAACAAAATCAAATATAAAAGCGTGGACATAAATTAGCACTTCCGGTGGAATGCGAGTCCGCAATCACGCACGCTGACTGTCCGAGATTTCTAGCCATGTATGGCCCAGCAAGAAAGCTAGAATTGAAGATCAACTCGATTTTTCAAACTAAAAATTTGTATACGCTTTATTTCCTGTTTAAAATGTGCATTAAATTTTTTCGAGAGACTGAATCGAACCACCTAATATCGGTCTAAGTTGAAAGTTAAGTTTCCACCCAGTGTCCACCCAGTTGTATAATATAACAAAATCACATATATATATATAATTATATATATAATATATATATATATATATATATATATATATAATATATATATATATATATATATAATATATATATAAATATATATATATATAATATATATATATATATATATATATATATACATATATATATATATATATATATATATATATATATATTTATCACATACTTGTGCCTTTATCAGGGCGATAACAGGGTGACATAAAAACGATATCGTCACTGATATAACAGGGTGACATAAAAACGATATCGTCACTAATATCGCTTTTTGTCACTGATATCGCTTTTTGTCCCGCTGCATTTGCCGCTGTCAAAACAAAGATGGCTGACTCGAGCAGTTCGAGGTTTGTTTCAGTCGATGTCGATTGCTTTATAGAAGAAAAAGAAGTATGTGATAAACAGGTTATCACAATTGGGACAAGGTGATATCAGTTTTATCGCTTTCAGGACGATATCATAAATGTCCCTCGTTCGCTGCGCTCACTCGTGACATTTATGATATCGTCCCTCAAGCGATAAAACCTATATCACCTCGCCCCTCATGTGATAACCTATACATATATGTACACCCATTTGCAAAAACGTTGGCCGCAGATAGATAGATAGATAGATACTCGAAGTCTAATTAGAATTGCATATGATTACATTTGCATAGGATTTCAATCATATTACACAACATATGCAATTTTAATTAGATTTCGGGTATATACATCATGACTCCAGCAAGAAAGCTGGAATTGCAGATCAAATTTTTCATCTTACGTATATCTTACCTTCCTTTTTGAAGATTTTTTGAAAGCGCAGTAAACAATGTCGCCCTACAACTTTGGTCGAGTGTTATTTCTACGTGTCTACGTTCTGTGTTTTTTCCTGTCTTTCAGACAAGTTTCGGGATCAAATGGTACGTATATTTGCTGCATGTATACCGTTTTGTTTGAACAAACGTAAAAAAATTTTCAAAATTTAGTCCAGATTTATGCATTTCAGTTTTGTGTATAATGTGCAAAATCGAGAATTGGCGGTCACTCTGAAAATTTCAATTTTGCTCATTCTTAGTTTGCCTTGAGACATTACCAGGTAAACAAACGTGATATAATTTGTTTTTCAAAAAACCGCTGAAATTTTGAAAAATCTGAGGAAAACCGTTTGGCTGTGGGTGACTTTAAAATTATGCAAATTTTCAGTGGACTCAAACTGTTCAAAAGAAAATAGCTGATGCAAAGCAGGAAAAATGTATTAAAACGGCGCGCTTGTAAATCCGTAGAGGAGATGTTCGAGAATTGATTGGGCATAAAATATTAATTTTAGCTATTAATTAAAACCAGACGGCTGATATTTTAGAATCGTATGATATTCACACGTAGGAAAAGTATAGCGTTGACACGGAAAAAGCATTTTAAATAAGTGCCCCAGGTTTTTTCTTCATGAAACCTGCGCTACTAACTAAGAAGATGCTCTTCTAGAACATAAATTATAAAAGAATTAGTTTGGATTGTTGCATTTAGAGTTCGTATACGGAGGCCCTAGATATCGAGTATTTTTGACATACAGCGTGTCTGACTGAAATTTACAAGTGTCTGATGCTTCTGGTCGCTATTTTCTCATTAGTTGATATTTACATTAAATCCTAAACAAAATGACTGTCGGGTGGAGAGCCAAACTGACAGGACTGACGATGGCGCGCCACTGTATGATTATTTATATCTACTCTCCTCAAAGAGTAATCAGAAGATGTTTCGTCTTGTTTATATCTCGCAAAATTAGTCCATTTTTTATACGAAGAACATTAATTTTGCATGAAAAATCCATTACTTGGGCGATTGTTGTCTCCCTACCATGCATCGTGTATCTAGTAACAATGGTAAAGAATTGATAATAGGCAAGGTTTGTGTTATCCACCGAAGCCGCTGCTGAGTGGATAACATAGACCGAGGCTTTGAAAAATCTCAATGATACGAAAACTCTATTCAATGATTGTTTTATTATTATATTCAAATAAAAGTTGCCGTCCTGCTTTCTGGCTTCGGTATAGAAACGCTTCAAAATCCGCGTCAATTCAACACTGCATGTTTCCTGGGTGATAGCTATATTTGTACTCCTGGAATACTGTTTTGGCAATTTTCGTGTTCCTCCACGTATTGTAGTTGTCTTTGTCTGAGATATCTTGATCGTTTTACGCTTGCAAAAGGCCTAAAAGCCATTCTGTTTACGCTTTAAGAATATTTGGTTTTGGTGGGCTTTCAGCAAACTGCATGTGGACCGAACTTCGGTCCAAAAAAGTATAATTGCATCTCTTTTGATGTCAGCACTTGAAACAACGGGACAGCTTCGAAATACTGAAAATTCTCCGAGGCAATTCGACCAATCACGAACTAGAATAAAATTTGAATATATAATGGTAAGTTATATTTATACAACGAGTTATTTAACGCAGAGTGATTTTCGCTCCGCGGCGCGCTCTGGATTGTAGCGGCGTTGTGTGAACAGCTCCCCCAGGCTTCTTCATTTTCTGCAGGGTCGATGTGGTCGTCAGTTTCTTCGCCGTCAGAGCCATGTCTTAGAAGTTTCCTTTTGGCTGCTAATCTAGAAAAAAGCTACCAATTTGCTAGCTAGTAAGAAATGCTCTACTGTCCATCAGCATTCTTTGCCGTAATCATAGCCTTGGCCACTGACATTGTATCTTCTTTCTCTCCTGTTGCTTCTCCAATTAGAAATCCATCCGTCAGGACGCTCTTCTGCTTTTCGGAGAATCGCTTCTTGCGTATTTGGTTGATTTTAAAGCCCTACCCATCGGTAAACTTTGTATGGAGCTGGCTCCAAGAGCATTTCTTGCTCCTGATGGGATTTCTGGTACACCTGACGTAAGATCGTGTAGTCTACTTCAGCGGCGTAGCTAGCATCGATAAGTGGGGTGGACATATTCATATATTAATGTTCAGAGACCGTTAAAACAATCAATTTGAAAAGAAATTAATAATGTGAAACACGAATATATGAATAAGTCCCCCCCACTTACTATGCTGGCGACGCCACTGGTCTACTTGCGTAGCCATGGACAGCTTCGTCACATACAGGGTGTCTCAAAAATAACGCAACCACTTAAATATGCAAGACATTAATACAGCTCTAAAGCACAATAGATAAGCACCTCTGGAAATTGAAAATGGCTCTTAACCCTTCATTTAAAATGCTAAAAGTCATTTTAGCTGAACTGTGGTGCAAACCCGAATAATATTAATATTCTTGCATATTTAACTGGTTGCGTTTTTTTTGAGACACCCTGTAGTGTTCCATGTTCAAGCTTACGTTCATATTTACCACAGTCGAGGTGGTGTTGCAAGGCCGAGTAGCGTAGGTACGTCTTGATGGAGGCTTCTTCGGGACAGGAAAAAAGGTTGTGAGATTCTTCGACAGCTTAAACTTGTGTTTTTTTTGCTTTGGTACACTTTGTTTACAGCTACGAAAACTTTTCTTTAAAGGGATGAAATGTTCATCACACTGAAGCGCTGCATCTTTTTTTAGGCTAGCAGTCAATAGATCAACAATTGCACTCTCTTGATTCAGTTCACCCAGTTTGCTCAGTGGCAGCTTCTTCCCCGGCCCAATAATATAAGCCTTCCATACTTTCAGATGACCTTGCCCACACTCGACGTTAGAGAAAGCGCTTACACCATCCATTTCTTTCACACGAACCCCAGGTGACGTACAGAGAAACCAACATCCTTTCCAATACTCTCTTCTACGATAGTTGAATAGCAATGGTAACAACCTGCGTTGTCCTGCCTGAAGTACACGATTTCTAGTTCAGGAAGCTCCACTTTAGCTTGTGAATCACATCTTTCATGAATGAAAGTATTGCGCGTTGTTTTGTTTACAAGATTCGTATACGCGGACGAGCGTCATGGAATGGATTTCACCGTTTTCTGGTTTGTACATTGCCACAGTTATATGCCACGTCAATCCGAGCTCTCTAAAAAAGTTGGTCTGGCTTTCACTGTACTTCCTTGAAAGAAACTTCATAGCCCAGTCTTGAACTAGAAGCACGGGCTTTTCATCTAGAGAATCACATATTATTATAGTGCGTGCTTCATTTCGTGCTGGCTGAATGTTACGCAGCAGGTGCGCCTTCCATGCATTTATGTTCCGTTTTGCTTGCGCGACTTTGAAAACTAACTATTCCTTCAAGTCCTTGTTATCTTCAGGAACTAGCGCTAAAGCTTCATCAATATTGTTAAAAACCTTTTCAATTTGATTACATCGATCACAGTAGTAAGTGTGCTCGTAGGTACAAGTAGCTTTGAAGTCGGAATCACTAGGTTCGCTAAGGGTATAAGACCGACAGTGGTCGGGTATGCCGGATTCTTTCCAAACGTGTACCTAAAGTCAACACTAAAAACATCTCACTCTTAACACAACTGTTACTAGTAGTAGCCTTGCCTATTCACACGTTGGATTTCGTTGCGAAGATAACGATGGACAACGTACCTTATAATCACTCTCTTAGTTGATTTTAGAAGCGCCTTTCGATCCCTCCCCATGTCATGCCAATCAAATCGCCAAACTTCTCCGCACTCAAATCATCACTTAAATCATCGAATGCGTCAGACCCTGATAACGGTAACGAAAACAGTTATATACGCCTGTATTCTAAAAGCTCACACTCAAACTCATTGAGTGGGAGATCTTTTAAAATGTTATCGTAACGTTTTCATGGCGGTATTTCCAGCCGAATTGTGGCTTGATTTTCAGTGTTTTACCTTAAATCTTTCCACCAATTCCGAAAGTAAATTTCTCATTGACTAGCATTAACAAAATTTACACGTCACACTCAATGGCTGTAAGTATGAGTGAGCTCAGTTTTTCAATACAGGCTATAGTCTGTTAAAAACTTAGAAATTGCGGTAAGAGCAGACGCACCACATTAGGCACCTTCATAACTTCCTTCGATGAAAGGGTGCATGATGCTCTTTTCTCCAAACGGAAGATCTTGCATTAAGTGTGAGATCGTGATAAAGTCTAAAAAGTGATCGAGTTTGTCCTCTGGTACTGCTATTCTTGTTCTTCTATCAGGCACTAGTGGAGTTTTTCTGCCGTAGACGAGGATGTGTTTTCTCGCAGCAGTGAACCGGTATCGAGAAAGCTAGGGAATCCAAATTTGAAGTGTGCTGTAAGCAACTTTATCTACCATTATTGATAAGATTTGGCGTTGAGTGCCCCATCTGCTAGAATTTGTATAACACTGTGCTAGAGCCTCCACCAACACACTGTCGACGTCTTCTAGTTCCTTGACAGGAAATTGTGGGTCGAGTGGCTTTGAAACAATGGCTTTCCAGAGATGATGATGCTGATCTGGTGCAACTTCTTCAAGAAAAGCAGCAATTATAGCCTCTCTTGCCCTACGGCTACGCACATAACGGCGTTTTGTTAGCTCATTTGCATCTTCCCACTGGCCTCTCATTATCACATTCCTCACTGGACATAATTATATCCCTGCTTTGTAGGAGCTCATGCATTGAGCTTTTCAAGAGCTTTTACTGCATCGTTTTTCCCTGGTGCTTTAAAGTTGAATTAACGGCAACGTAAAAGGTTGCTGAGGTACTTTGAAGTATGTTGTGGTACATATTATGACAGAGACTATCACTGGTTTCATTCTATAAAAGAGAAGATAATACGTGCATTTATAATATACGGTGAAAATAAACGTCCCTAAGTGTAATATACATAACTGCTATTTATAGATAATTAAGCTTGGACAATAGAATGAGAACTGATTGACAGTTAGAGACAGACAATAATATAGAAAGTGTATGAGAGCGAGAAAAGTAAGAGCACATGAAAAGTAATATATATAATATAGAGAAACAAAATATACAGTTATACAAATCGGAGCAAGGAGTGAGA